CCCCAAAACCCCAAAACCCCAAAACCCCAAAACCCCTTGGTTACTCAGCTTAAATGAAAATCTATGTATTTTAAATACGTTTAGATCTCATCATCAGAATCGTGGTGAGGTTCTCCTTCAACGATTTTTACAACAACAGAAGCCAGACCTCCAAACATTACCATAAATCCGAAGATTATGTAGAACCAGGAGACACATTTTCTGTACAAGCTTCCTTTCTCTCCTGAAAGAGTGCATGATCTGAGGTAGAAGATCCCAGGGAGGATGAAGAACAGCATAGATATTGAAAGAGCTCCTACAAATCCAAAGACAATTGATACGTCATCTAGAACGCAAGCCAAAGCGACATCCAATGCGTAGATCACTGATGTTAATGTGAGGTAAAGGAAAATAGGAAGGTCACGATGAGTAGGCTCCTTTGTATTTCCTTCAGCAGCTTTGAGCTCTTTCTCATAATTCTTATTTCCTCCTTGTCTTAATCTATTGTTAACCGCTAAAACTTGTTGGGTTATCGATACATCGATATTTGGGATAACTGTTGTCTTCTTGAGAGCTGTTTTATTCAACTGAGATTGAGTTTGGGGAAGTTCACCATTTTCATCTCCTGCAAAATCTGACTTTGGGGCTACTCTTGAGATATGCGAGACATCTTCAACTAAGAGATGAGAAGTCTCCTGCTCCTCCATCACTTCTTCAGAACCCTCAGATTTAGTATAAAAGAAGGTGAATACCACAATTAATATAGCCTCTTTAGCAACAAAGAAGATAAGAGGAATATGGAGAGCTCCAACAACAGCAAACATTGCTCCCAAGATATAGGTTTCCCATCCAGAATTCTCTCCAATATTTTGTAATATATCAGAATGGACGTGGTCCCCGAAGGCGTAGACTGAGATGAAGATACAAGCAGTGTAGATGAATCCAGCAATACTCATCGATGTAGCAGCTGTCTTCATTACATTTCTCTTTGTGTTATCCTTCAAGTTATTAAGCACAGGGAAGAAGACAGTCTGGAAGGAAACTCCTACCAAGATAGTTGTTCACATGTATATCAGTCTCATCTTGCTTTGTTTTTCGTTAAATGGAAAGAAGTAATCTTTATGAGGATGATCATCATGGTTCCAAGTAGTGCTCTGCTCAAAAATCATATGAACTCCCAGAAGAGCTATGAAACCAAGCACGCCAAGGAACAAGAAGAATGCAATTGGCTTAAGGTCTGTGATGTCTTTTTTGAATACAAAATATGCCAATAATAAAGCAGTCACCCCGATATATGGCTGCCTATGTTTGAGCCAATTTGGTGCCCCATTTATTTTCTCAGCAATTTGGCTAAAGCAAGTTCCGGTGAGAATGAAGTAAATAATTGGCATTCCAAAACTTTTTGTAAAAACTACAATATTGATGATGTACACAGACACTTTGCCAAGTCAGAAGAATCCAATCTCACTCAAACTATTAAGCCCTGTCATTCTTGAACTTTCGTATAATAAATCGACGGATTGAAGTCCTAGGACTATAGCCAAATACAATACTCCAAGTCCTAAAATAAGACCTAGCTTGAAGGCAGCATAAGGAATCCCAATTACGCCACTGCCTATCATGATTGCGAGTATGGTCAGAACACCTCCGAACACAGTGCCTGTCCTAGAGCTCATATTCCCTTTTGTATCAGGGACGTTATTCTGTGGGAAAGCTGAGATAACACTCATAGTCATGCCTGGCCTTTTCGTGAAACCCGTGACGTCTACGTTCCTGGTCAAGAATGTGTGGCCAATCTGTTGATTTGTATTATCTGCCATTAACTATTACACCTCACAAATATTATATCAACTCAATTATTATATTTTATATAGGGGTTTTGGGGTTTTGGGGTTTTGGGGTTTTGGGGTTTTGGGG